CCGTGGCCACGAGGTTGAGGGACCCGCTGTGCCCAAAAGTGCCCAAACCGCCCTTGAAATGGGTTTGCATCCCAAGGCCCTTCACACCGCGGTCACTCCGTCTGAGCCAAACACGTTACTGGGATGAGATTTACGGAAAAGAGGTTAGAGGAAAACACAAAGAAATCCCCCTCTGCATGTACGGGCCCGTTACTGGGCGATCCGGAGGGTCTTTAAAGGTGTCAGACATCTCGTGTGGACTCCATCCTTGGAAGGCAAAATCCCCCGTTCCAGAAGGAATTCCTGCTAACAGGCAGCGGATACAAGATGGTCCCCAGGGTGGTGGGGAAAAAAAGAAAAAAGAAAAAAGAAAAAAAAAAAGGCATTTTGGCTACAGTTCAATAACATCATGGGAGGTCCTGATTAACAGGTCCCTGTTAATGACACAAATGAGCTCATTAGCATACAAATGATGCTGTATGAAGCAGCAGGGGAAGGCTCCGAGGCGCCTGGTTAAAGCTTCCCTGGATGCATCCCGGCTGCGGATCATCCCGCGCGGGAGGGGGTAACCAGTCCGCTCCCTTGCGGAAGAGGCATCGCTTTGGGGAGGAAAAGGACTTCCCTGGGCGCCCAAAAACCCTCGCTTCCATCTTTCTCCTCCTTCAAGTCCCTGCTGCGTAAAATAAATCACCAGGGAGCTTCTTGGGCAAAACGGAGTCTTTCTGTTACCTTTTCCAGGGACTCTGCCAGACCAGGAGCTGCCACCAAGGCAATGCAAACAATAAAAATAATAATAAGAAAACCACCACAACGTAAAACCTCCCTCAAAGTGAAGCGCTTCCAGCAGCTCCACATCAGCAGTGCAGCGAGTTTTCCCGCCCCAGCTTCCCTGAATCCCCACTCCCCCCGCATCATCCGGGCCAGGAGAACGCGCCCCCTCCTGCCACCCTGGCCCATCGTGTCCATCTTTTTGACTCTCCTAAAAAGCAAATTTCCACCGCTGAGCCGGAGCCCCCAGGGAGCTGCCGGGCTCCCATCCCACGGGGAGCAGCTCTGGCAACGGGAAGCAGGGAAGCCTCTGCTTCGGAGGCAGCATCGATCGGAAAGGAGCGCAGGAGAGACCTAACGGAGCAGCTTCGGCAGCCGATTTTAACACTTCCCCCTAATTTGGGGTAAGCGGTGCCGGAGTCCTCCGGGATGCTGCTGCACTGCTTGGAAATGCTGCTTCATATGAACTTAGCTTCAACTTTACACAGAGTTTCCACGTGCTTTTCTTGGGAACTCCTTTGCTTATGGATTCATTCCTTCTCCAGGAAAATACAGTATTTTTCCCCCTCCTCAGGGCAACGGGCTCCTTTTTACAGCTTTGCGCCCGCGATCTCCAGCGCTCTCCGGAGTTTGCCCGTGTCCTCCTGTATCTACTGCCGTGTTTCCTTTGGGAAAAGCTGCACATTAAGCTGGAAAGCGATTAACTGCTCTAATTGATTTGAGCACGGCCTCCGCGAGGGCGCTCGGCTCGGGCACGCGGCTTCCCACGCAGCAGCGGCCGGAGGAGCCCGCGGCGCTCCCGAAATCCCGAGGCCCATCCGAGCGCCCGGCCGGCAACCCCAGGAATGAACAGGGTGCCTGCAGGGGCTTTCTGCTCGGAGCCACCACACCGGCAAACAGGAGCCTATTCCTCAAACGTCTGTTTGCTTAGAAATCAGCTTAATTACATTCTAAAGAGCTTAAAAACAAATATATATATATGCCTTGCAATGATGCAGCATAGAACATAAACTTTTTAATAGTAGTAACCAAGACCATTTCCTGCTTCCACAGGTGCAATAAAAATGCTAATATATGTTAATGCTTACTCGGTGGTTAATGTTTTGTCTTGCTAATTTCCTGGGGTTTTTATTGCCAAGCTAAATCCACCAGGCTGCTTGGCTGCCTGCCCTGCTCTCCGCACGGTGTCCTCACGGACGGACACGTTTACAACCCAAAACGAACGTTCCTGCAAGGTGCTTGCAACCACTGCATGCATTTTGGCAAAAACATGTGCAAAACGGTCCGTTCACCATTCTCACACTCTCCCCAAAAAGCAAAGACTGCAGGAGCGGGCACGCAAGTGAACTGACCACTCTATTTTAGGGAGCACCTTGTTATTGACCACATCGTGCTCTGCTGGTCCCAGGTGCTGGAGCAGGATGGCACAGGTGTCTTCCACGTGCATTTCACTAAAATCCCTCATTAATGGACTATTAAGTGCTATTAATCAACCACAGCGCGTTACAACCCAAACCACCAGACGTCGCCCGAAGCGGCTCCCGCCCAGCCGCAGGACGCGGCCCTTCCTCCCCACCGCGGTGCTTAATAATGCAGCAGTGTTAAATAATGCAAGGGGAAACGTGCCAGACACGCACGGATCCTAATGCTTAGGATAACAGGGCGTGTGGGGACGCCTGCCGGAGACCGCCCCGGAAAGGAACGTTGCCGTGTGCCTCCTGGTCCATCTTTTCCTACCGCGAAGGATTCCCTCTCGTGCAGAGGCACCGTGACCTCGATTTGAGGCCAGCCCTTTCGAAGGGTCTCTATAAAGATGCAAAGTTGATGTTTCCCCTTCAAGTCAGCCTTACCCAAAAGACACTGGTGTAGCAAGGGAGACGCGGGAGCATCCAGCGGGACCACGAGCGAGCCCGGCTTGTCCCAGCGCGGCTCCGGCACCGCTCCCTTGGCACGGGCCCTGCCTTGGGCTGCCCTCCCTCCTTAATGAGCTTCCGCTGCAGCTTTCCAGGGATTTTAATATCGCACCCGGTTCGTGCCTACGGCATTGCACAACGAAGCAACGGGAGAGAAATCAATCCCTCGCAGCTTAATTTAGGGAGGAAAAACAGATACCTGCCATCAGCGTGTAATAGGAGCCAGAAAGAGGGGCTGTAATGGGTCATTTAACAGCAACGGGATCAGCTGGCTTCCAAACGTGGTCAATACTGAGGGGTCCAACCTCCCCGTGCAGCTGCCAGCCCAGACTCAATTATTCCTGGAGAAACACATTGCTTAATAATTTAGAAAGTTATTGCATGCCTCTTTTCTTCCCTTTTTTTTTTTTCTTCTGCCTTTTAAAGCAGACTGATGCAATTTTGGAAGTATAAAGCCATTATAACGTGTCAGCTAGCAATTAGCTACTGTACACTGTTTATTCTTGAATGTAATCTTGGGGTAGAAGGGCAATATTCTTGGAAACGCAGCATTAACTTGCTCCTCAATGACTTTAATATGGCTCTTTTCAAATTGCTGCTCATAAAATCGCAGGGAAGAGAAACCTACTGATGATATCCCCATCTTCTTAATTAGCTCTTGCTCTTTCCATTGGCCCTTCAAGAGCAAACCTAATATTTATAGAAAATAGAGCACAGAAGTCTTGGTGCTACCTGCTCCGGTGGGTCCCTTGGGATCGAGTACGAAGCAGTGCCCGGTCCCTAACCCACAGGGATCTGCACTCCCGGCCAAACGCAGCTTCAGGGATTTTCCCTTTAATAAACCCCTGCAGTGAAGCCACTTCAAAGGTTTTTATGCCCCTAACAGTATTTTTCACTGCAAAACGTTTCCCTCCCCTCCTGCGCTCAGATGCTCAGGGCAGTGCAGTTCAATGAAGAAACCCAACAATTCCCTAGTTACAGCCTCCTTCTTTAACCCTTCCTATATTTATAAGGATAAATAAGGGATAAATAACCCTCTTGTGCTGCCTCCAGCCTCCCTTCCCATGCTCAGCACCAATTTCAGCTAACACAACACGGCTGCACGTACCCAAGCTCTGAGTCGTTTCAGTGGCTTTTAATACCTTGAACAGAATAATTGCAACCATTTCTTGTCAATTCGGAGCCCAAAGGAGCAGAAGAGTCGAGACAAGAGCCACAATGCATGGGGCAAGGAAGGGGTCCCTCCTGCCCACCCTGATCCCACTCAAGGCCCGTGCCTGGAAAACTCACCCAAAACGTAGCCTGCAAGGTGAGAGACTTCCCTCAACCTGCTGCTCTGATCATGCTCTGTTTCATTGAAAATGTAAATTGATATTTTCTAAAGATGTTGGTATCTTCAGGGCTTTCCTGAGACTCTGCAGTAGCACTTCGTTGTGCACTGTGGTTAGCAAGAATGAACTATGCGATGATTTACAGCATTAAATTAAGTTCTAACAGATATATACTGAAAATACTGGAAATTGGTGTGCACTTCAACTTTGTTATAATGTTATATGTCTGATTGATATATTAAGTAGAGTTTGTAAACAGAAATTAATTTGACTTTATTTTCAATACCTTTACTAATGCTGTCAAATTGCAAGTTAGAATTTCATTATCAGAAGTGGATTCCAGTAAATCAATATCACCTGGTTCCAAAACAAGAAAGAAGAGGAAAAAAACTATTAGACTAGAGGCTTTCAATGTCTCAGCTTGCATCTTTACCTCCAGCTCATTTTTTAAGCTGTGGAAAGAACATTTTCCCTTCTGTAAATGACCAGGAAAGACATGCACATATTGTCTGTGAACTGCTTGTATAGAGAGGGGCCTGCTATACTGCAACGAGCGCCCGATGGACCAGCTCATTGAAAGAGAATTAAAATGCAGCACTGCCAGGCCGGGGGATGCCCTGCACCGAGCCCGTGCAGAGCATCCATCCCATACCCACACATGGGAGCCCCTGACAAGGACCCCAGGAGGTAAAAACCAGCTGGGAGCAACAACCCACAACATCAGCTCCTGTCCTCAAGTACCCTCGGCCTCCTGCTTTTTGGGCTGTTTCTGCAGGCAGATGATTTAAACACCAACACAGGCAGTTTCAGGATCTACGGAAATACCTGCTCTTGTGCCTGGAGAGCACTGGGTTCATTCGTCCAGCGGTGCAGATCGATGTGTGCAATCCAAGAGTTCATAAGCTTTAGAAGGAAGTAGCTCCACGCACGTAAGTCACCCGTGAATCATCCCCGCTAACCAGCGGGCTCCGCGCTCCGACGCTGCCCGCTCCCTCTCCAGGTCACTACCCGGGGGCATCATTCACAC